GCGTGCGCTGTTCTTCCGCCCGCCACTTGACCCGCCGGGGAGGTAACGCCGGGTGCGTCTCGAGGAGCCCTCAGAGCCTGACTTCATGGCCAAGTCCAGGGAGGACGTGGCTTGCCCAGCATCAGGGCAGCTGGTATCCATGCAGACACAGAGCAGGAGGAGGAAAAGGGAAGAAGATGTTGAGGCAAAGACATACTGTATTATCCCAGTTACACAGTCTGATGGTGACAGTGTGGATTGCACACATGCAGGTGGCCCTACGCGTTCTCTAGCTGCACTCCACTGCCAGTCTGCTGCAGAAGGGCACTTCTCAACTGGCCAACTGACACCCGGGTGTGGAGATGAGGAGCATCAGGTCCAGGAGGAACGAGGTGTCTGTCCCTGCTCTGCATGCTGGCAGAGTCCTGGGAACCCTGCCTGGAGGGGGGCAGGAGTGAGGGGAAGGAGGTGAGGCTGTGGGACGTGGGGTGAGGAAGCCTCTCAGTTCCATCAAATGTTACCAAAACATGTGACACCAATGGAGGAATGAGACATTTTGTACTTTTTTTTCTGAGTATATAGATAGTAAAAACATTCTATAATTCCAAGAAAAAGCACCCAGAGCTCATGATGGGATAAGTGTCGAACTGGGACAGTAGCAGCTCTCAAATGCAGAGGAAGAATAAAACTGGCTTTGAAACTCCGTGCTGGGACCCACCGATTTAGATTCGAGTTTTAATTAGTAACAAAGGCTGAAGAGCAACTGGTGAAGGAGCCGGTGCTGCTGAAAGGTCGCTGACAAGAAACATACCAAGTTTAAAAATGGGCAGTCCAGCTTGATTTACTTAATGAGTGGGATTGCAAAGGCATAAAAAGTTTTGCATTCCCTTATTTGTTTTACTTGAGTCTGAAAATCAAGAAACAAGTTGTTCAGTGGTAGCAAATGCAAAGGGAACAACCCCTCAAAAGCATATTTTCCATAATCATCTGCAACTACAAGAAATCCTTCTTCTCTCAGGGTTCTGATTAACATGATGCTGCATACTGTAACTAGCAATTACACCAACTATATCCATTATGTTATTTTGGGACAGTAACTACTGTCAAGATGAAAAGGTTGAAGCAGGTGTCAGGATTATGAAGCAGCCATGTTACTTTGTTGGCGTTTGATCCAAAGCACCGGCTCTCTAACACATGGCAGCAGGAACATCAGCATCATCAACCTTTATTTAACCAGGGGAAAAAAGGCTCTCATTTTCAGTGGCGCCCTGACCAAACTCTTAAAATGCACTAACAAATTAATAACCATACAAATAAACACTATATAAAAGACAAAAATAAGATACCTTCTCTATGCTGTGTCCACATTACATTATGTTGTCCAGTGACTATGCAACTTACTTCTAGTGTCAGCAGTTAGAGTTTGGCATTGTTCCTCGAGCTCCAATCAATGAGGTCATCACTTAATCCAGACATGACTCACCTCCTCAGGTTGTTGGACTCCACAGGAGTGTCTGCCTCTAGTCCATTTGTAACCCTTCCTGTCCTGCGATTCACTCCTTCACTCAGGCCATCTGAGTTCACCATTACTCTGTGGGCTTGGCTCTCCGAGTCATGTGCCTCTTTCCCATCCCTCCTCACCCACTTTGAAGGAAGCTCCTCCATGTTGCCATAACGCTCAGCCAGTTCTCGTCTCCTCTCAGCCCTATAGCGGGCGATCCGCTCTGATCTGGGCTCCGGAGCTGGGCTTTCCATGGTGTTCAGAAGGATTGAAGAATGGAGCGCAGATGGGTTGTTCTTCCTTCACTTTCCAGCTAAGGCAAAACACATGAGCCAAACTTTTCTTCAGCAAGATTCAGATCCCATCAAATCTTTGCTGTGATGACAGATTCCATGAATCAGAGGTCTCAAACCAATCTCTACAACAGTGAGTTAAACATTCCTCCTAAAACAAGAAAGAGAAAAATGCATATTACCCAACTGTCCTTTAGCAATCTACTATACATCTGCCTAGAAAGGTCCATGACAACATTAATGCTGGCTTCATTATATATTTACACTTTTTTTTTTAAACTATATTGTTTATGTATTTCAAGTCCCTCTCTTGCTCGAGTCCATGTAAGATGACCTGTTCCAGCCTCCAGTGCCATGCAGGAATCTCCCCTTGCACTGAAACTCAACACCACAGCCACTCCACGCCTCTCTGGGTCCAAGCATTGATGCCACCAAGTCTGCAGGCTTGCTGGTCTTTTTCAACATGCTGAAAAAGTCACTGTTCTCATTTTCAAATGTTATCCAACAAGTTCCAAAGCCAGTTTGAACACTGTTATGCAATACAGTGCATGTTATCTGTCAGAACACTGGCCAAATTAGATTAGCTGTAATTTCAAATTGGTATAAATATACATAGTGATGCATGTTCCCAAGAACCATGCACACACAGGGCCTTGAGGCTACTGCACATGTTTGCATTTGAGCAAACAATACTAATAAAGTCTGAGGCTTTAAACCACGTATAAACAACCCTGATCTGAGACAATTTGCATTTAAATACAGCAGCTAACCATCAGCTAGGCTGGCAAAGGCCTGAGAGCATATGTGGGAAGACGATGTGCGTCGGTGTGCATTCCAAAACCTCTGGGTGTCAGCATTCCTGGTGCACGAAGCACAATGGAATCAGACCAAAGAGGCATGAGAAATGGATTTAGTGTACCAGATAGATCAGCTGGAGGGCTGTAGAGCTGTGGTGGCAGTAAAGCTCAAAGTAACAGATAAAATTTTACATATACTTTATCAGTTTCACTGCTGCCATTAGACTACTGGAGCAATATACCTTAAGTGGTCAAAACTAATGTGATTAATATGCAGCATAAACATAAAAATCTTAACTACTACTGGGCAGATCTGCCTTTTATTCATCAGATGCACCAAATGATCCAGACATCCAGTCCAGAATAAACACATTTGCGGACACTGTCAGCAGAAGGTGCAAATCCCAAATGTCTGTGTCACAGAGAGCTTTAATGGCCTGAACTGTTAAGTTGTTGTGATCCCTGCATGAAACAACAAGCTCAGTGCTGTGTTCTGTACATCTGTGGCAACCCTTCATAGCACACTTGAATGGGACACAACCAGCCAAACAGAAGGAAGGACTCGCCTCCGTGTCCAGACCCACAGAGTAACAAGCATCTCAAGTCGTACTCTGTTTTGGCTGGTAGAACATGAGTAAAAGATGACAGTCACACCATCTTATGCAAAGAACAAAAGTCAAGTCAGAAGCCGGAGGATTGCTAAGTGGGGAAAAAGCCATCTTAACTCAATAAGAATCATGAATTTCTAATCCAATGACACTAGCTGATATTCACTCACCAGTGGCTGAGCACAAATGAACAGGAAGAAGAAAAAAAAATCTCCAGAGGGGCTGAACAAGAGACTTAAAACTAAAATGTATCTAATTAACAAACAACAGAATAAATCAAAGTGATTTTTGAACACTTGTAGGTCCAGGACTTGTGTGTAAGTGACAGACAGAATAACTGATTTAAGTGGCACCATGGCAATGTGCCTGAAAATGAAAGGGGTGGAGCATGAGCTGAAAACAGTCATAAATCACAACATCTAATTGAAGTGGCTGTCATTTGAAAACTACACATCAAGTCAAAAAGATACTTTTCAAAGCAGGGTGTAGTATCATTGTGACTTTGAACGACCCTCATCCATGAAACAACGGCAAAACCAGCTAACTTTAAAAAGTACATGGCATCATCATCTTGGATGTGACCTAAAGTAAAAAAAAAATGTGTATGTATGTATGTTATAATATTTCTATGCAGAAGCAACTCGTACAAATCTCGCTGAGCTACCTGTAACCATGGCGCACAGTCATTCATTCTGCACACAAAAATTGTAAACATCTTAAAAACCACGAATATGGATGATTTTCAAACCCTTGTATTATTCAGGAGTAAGACCGGAATGTGTGACACTGACATCAGCAACTCCAGTCGAAGTTATAACTCGCCGGAAAGCAGCTCTCTTCATGCACCCACCATGAATATCGTGCGCAAATATACGGAGTTCTCACCCAGATGGCAAATGTCACAATTAAGCCACTGGGGACACGCATCCGCAAATTGAAGGGAGGGGGTCTGCAGTTTCATTCATGCGTAATTCGTGCCTAAACACGCTCAGGCAGCTAGAAGCATATATAATTAATATTGAATTGGGTTATTCTTTCACTATAGGTAAAATGTTCAGCCAAAAGGCTCACAGTGACTCAACACTAAATCTGCAAGCTCAATCCTCCAAAGGCAGCACAGAACCAACACTTGGCACACGGCCGAATCACCATAACCAACGCCAAAATACGCAAACGTCGATCTAACGCGTGACTGAAAAGAAAAACAATGAAGCTTTGTTGTGCGGAAAAAAATGTACTTACACGCTCTGCCCGCCGTGTGACTTGGGCACGAGTGGGGCCGCTACTTTCCTCTGCCTTCTCACTGACCCTTCTCCACGGTTTGTCACTCCTAATGTAGACACACTTGCAGCTGCGCAAGGCTGGTCGTATTAAGTAGAGGGAGTATTAATAGAGCCGCGAGTACGGCAACAGAGAGGCACGTTTTGTGGAGCTTGTTACAACGGGAGTCTGTTAACATTAATAAATTGCCAACTGCCCGTTATATCCCCTCTTATAGTATTTCGTCTTTTCCTTTAACATTTTTCTACCTCACACTTAACAGATCTGAAAACATATACAACAAAAGCTCTCTGCATGATCAGGGACCACTAGCACTTTGTAATGTCTGTGAAACAGGGGGGGGGGCACCAAAGAACTCTCATCAAAATAACTATTATTCTAGTTAATCTTTGCTTCTGAAATAACAGATAAACTTGGGGGTCCCAAACATGATAAGGTGAGGATCCACTGTGATTGGCCCGCACCTACATGTTGCAACACTGCCCCCCTCTGTTCACACTGTGAAATTACAAGGGAGGCGATTTGTTCTGCTCGTGTGAATCAACAGAAATGAGACAGATCTTTGAGTCAATTATTTATAAAACTGCTTCTTGAATGAACAGCATAACTCATGCAGTAGTACAACATAAATACAGGTGAGTACAACATAAATACAGGTGTAGTTAATTATTCCAGTGAATACACCATAAATACCTAAAAGGAAAAAAAAGGGTTTCATTTCCTCCAATGTATACAAGAAGAAAAGAACCTGGGTGAAACAAAACATAAACCAACTCCTCAACATCAAGGTGCTCATAGTAGTGTCAGTAGAGTTAATAATGTTGTCAGTAGTTTACAGAAAAAAAAAATTCCTCTTTTTAATAGTACCAATCACCAAAAACAAAGTAACACTATATGTTTTTGGAAATACACAGTGTATTATCAAATAGCTAAATCAGGGAACAACTTACTGTTACTCAGCTATTATAAAGGCATTTCAAATTTAGAGATTAATACAACTCTGTAAATTGTAGGGCACCAATCTTCAAAACATGCCTCAGTGTTTTTACCAAATACATACATATCAACTACAAGTACAGCCATACAAATGGCTGCCATCCAGGCTGTTTCACTCTCATCTATAGTATGAACTGTATACTAGAGGATTTTGTGCCATAAAAGCCATGGCAAAGCATGTTTATTTAGTGTAAGAACATTCAAAACGTCTTTCATGATGCTGGTGAACAGTCTGTGAACAACTGTATGTTGGATTTTATGGCACAAAGCTAGTAAATACAGCTGATTGTGAGGTGGGGGGAAACGATGATAACGGAAGGAGCTGAAGTTTTCTTCCTTCCACTCCTCATTAGACTGAAAACTTCAGTGCTTCATGAAGAAAGGATGAGCCAGGGCTTTGGCAGCAGAGATGCGACTGCTTGGTCTGAATGCCAAACATTGCTGCAGGTACAGACATATTGCACCTTATAAATGACTTGGAGATAAGTACAGTAAAAAGATATAATATTAGTTTACTTAACAAATATCCTAAACCTATCTACATGGTCTGACCAAAGCAGGAATTTTGTAGATAACAAAACATTTAACATTTAACACACACAACACATTTAAATAGCTATGAATGCAGACAAATAAGCCTTAGATTTGTGAAGCTGTAACTAGGCAAATATTTGCTATTGTAGTCATGCTAGCAGCATTAGTCAGTCAGGACAGTGATATGTCAGCAACAATTGGATTGCCATGAAATTTTATGGTTGCATAGTTCTCCCTGTCTTTACCTCCTGTGCCACCATGAGGGGGACATTCACGATTTTGCCCGAAACTTGATACAGACACTGATGTCTCACTCAGGATGAACTCTATGACTTTTCCTTTAGTATCATCATCAGGTCAACAATTTGTCCGTTTGGCTACTTTGGTTTAGGACCAAATACCTACAAAACTAATAAAATTCCCATCAGCACCAGCTGTGCTTTTCATGCTAATTAGCAAATGTTAGCATGCAAATGCACTAAACCAAGATAGTGAACATTATAAACATTTCACCTGCATGTTAGCATTGTCTCTGTGAGCATGACAAAAGCACACTGACATTAAGATTTAGGTCAGCGCACCACTGTGCCTAAGTACAGCCTCACAGGGATGCTAACAGGCCTGTAGACTCTTGGTTTGTTTTCTTGATAAAATAAAATCAATTTTTTTATAAAAAAAAAATTAATACTAATTTTAATTTCTGTCAGATTCACCAGGTGAAACTACTAATATCGCTACTACTCTGATGTATTATTTATATCATCCTTATATTCAATGCCTAATTAGTCAGAAGGGAATTTATTTATTCTATATATAAAACTTAACAGAGTCGGTCTCCCTCAGTGAGTGGTGTGACTCTGAAAGCATGGCAACATGTCAAACAGAAACACAGATCTGCTCACTGATAATAGGTCATTCTCGGCTGGGCCCAGGACAGGAAGCAGCTTGGTGGAGGAGTCTTTTGGTCCCCAGTCGACTGCATACGAGACTGGGCTGTCCTTGGGCCAGTCCTCCTCGCTGGGCAAACCAATAACCCTGATGAAAGTAAAGCATCATGTTTACCAGTGAAGACCAAAACATAAAATCTACTCTGACGTTAGGTGAAATCAAATACAAATATGTGACAGACAGCAGCATTTTGGCTCACTTGGTCAGAAAAAGAAAATGTTTATCATTCAACTGAAAAAACACAGAAAAAATCATCTGGACTTGGTTTTAGGTCAAAGACGTTTCACCTCTCATCCAAGAGGCTTTATCAGTTCTGTCCGACTGGTGGTGAGCAGGAGGTGTTTATCCCCCTGGGTTGTGTTTCAGTCCTCTGACGGCCAACAATGTCCCCTAACGAGTGAGTGGTTATAGTCTGGTATTGGTGAGCGTCATTACCTGTCTTTGAACCCTCACATGTGGACCAACACCTATTGTCCTAGTGTGAATTAGGGTGGGAATGTTTGGGCAGAGATTTCAAAACAGAGTTGTAGATGGATTGGAACATCTTCTACCTAAAAACCAAGTCCAGATGATTTTTTCTACCTTTTTTTCAGCTTATGACTGGACAGACACGTTTATCATTAAACTACTTAATCTGTGCTTCATTATAAAGACAGCCTATTAATTCTGTTTCCATGGTTGTTGAGCAAGTTTGGGAATCAGCAAGACAGACACCTTTAGCACAGGTACAGTATAGCCTCTGCCTGATTTAAGGGTTGGGGAATGTAGAACAAACAGGCAGATCACCATCACAGATGCAAATCTTTACTCACAAAGAAAATACTCACTCAAAGATTTTTTGCAGCTGCTGCACCTCCGTGTACGCCTGAAACAAAGGTCTGAGGGATACAAGAACAAGGCACAACACAAGTCATATGGCAGCTTTACCTCTATTTTGACTATACAGAATGTTTTAATTTAAACCGAACACCCCGCATCACAAATCTCTTCTAGCTACAGAGCAAACAGACACAAACATCAGTACCTCAGGAGGAAGAGCTCAGCGAAGATGCAGCCAGCGCTCCACATGTCCACGGAGGACATGTAAACAGAGTTCAGCAGCACCTCAGGCGCTCTGTACCAGAGCGTCACCACCTGCACACAGAGCGTTGCGAAGGGAAAATAATGAAATACAAACAATGGTAAGTAGGGAAACAATTCAGACAGAATACTTATATTACATGTAAGAACTCCATACAGGCTCTAAAATGATTTAGGACTATTAATGCAATACACCAAAACAGTGTTAGAGACAATTACAAGTCCTTATCCACTTTGTATTATAATGTCACTTACACCTGGAGTGAGAGCGATATTAAAGGTATAGAGTCGTGCCAGTCCAAAGTCTGCAATCTTGACTTCTCCATGGCTGCTGATCAGGATGTTTTCTGGTTTTAAGTCACGGTGCAGCACCATGTTTGTGTGTAAAAAGTCCAGTCCTTGCAGCAGCTGCAACATCACATCCTGTACAGAAAGGAAAGAAGCATGGCAGCACTAACTGGTCTGTTTTTAGAGCTTTGTCCAAATTCAGTGAATGCCTCCTTTTGAGTCAGGAGATATTAGTCATAACATTTTACCAGCTGTTTACATTAAAGTTGTCACCAGTTATTTGTAAACACGTCACATAAACTTGACCAACGTAAAAGTCCTACAGGATATAATACCACGATCTAGGCACTTAGCTCTTGTTAGCAGCCTGGATATTTTCTAAAATAATAATCTAGCATTAAAATAGTTATGAGTGGAAAAAAGAACATGGATATATTTGGGCAAACACTTGCTCAGCAAATTGTCAACTGTCCATCATCAAAACTCGCCTGAATTTACCACTGCTATTTAAAAATGTGTCATGGACAACATTATGCTGGTACAAGTCAGTTCACACCTTAATACAGTCATGGCTTAGTCCAGAAACAGGGACCTTGGAAAGGTAAGTGGACAGGTCCTGATCAATGTATTCCAGCACCAGAGTGAGGTCCAAGTTCCTGCCCACTGATACAGCAGAGGCGTCCAACAGCCTGAGTGGTGAAATCAGGGAGAGAGGGGAAAGAAAAATGAAACTCTAAAGTGTTTTGTTACATATAATCATTTAATATTTATCACAAGATTATAGCAGATTAAACAATGAAAGAAGGTTAAAGGAGGATTAAAAGTAACAATATATACACAGAAATGATTAAAGTGTAATTTCCACCTTTACCAAACCAAAAAGAAACAAAGAAGGGTCTCAGTGAAACTGGGAGGGCAATGTGTTAAATCCGAATAAAGCCAAAACAAGTTTAGCTGAGACTGTATAGTTAAAGACACAACTATAATAATTCTTTATATTTAAGTAGAGAAAGGCTACAATGGTCTGTTTACATAAGCATTCTTACCATAGATTAAATTGGTTGAGTGTGGTGTTTTATGAATGTGTTAATATGTTACGATAAAAATCTGGCAGACTTCTCTGCAGGACAAGCTTATTTATTTATTTATTTATTCTTTCAAGCATGTAAAGACAGTTGATATGTCAACACACATAATTTTACACATATCCAACAAATGCTAATCCAATATCAATTTGCTTATACCTAGTACATGCTTGAATGGAGTAGGAAGAAGTCAGACTTATCCAGTCCTACCCCATGACATCATCTTACCATCATTGGTTTACAAGCAGTATCTCTACATAAATAATTATCTTCTACACCACACAAGTAATATACTAAAAAAATTATAACAGAGTGTTAACATTCTTACATAATTACATTCTTAAATA